ACTGCGGAGTTCCTGTGGTGTCAGAGCGGTTTCGATTGAGGTTGTATCTTCAATCGTCAACGTCAATTGACGTGGTATAGTGTCTTTCATTTTTCTACCGAGAATGACAGCTAATTCTCTGCTTCTCTTTCTCTTGACGGCATCTTTGGTCGGAGCTCGTAATTTGACTGACTTCAGCGGACAAGTGCAAAATCGTTTGCGCGAGTCATGTGGTGACGATTGCGTCACTGTCTGGACTGACAAGATGCTTCCCGTGCTGGAGAAGTTTCAGGCTAAGGAAGAAGGACAACACGGAGCCAGCGTAAAGATGACGCGTTAGACTTGTTTTTCATGAAGCAATCAGCACGATGTGATTCCCTTCGCTCTCTTCGATACCATGACTGATTTCAACGAGAAACTGAAGTCAGCAAAGCAAACGCTTCTGCAAAGCATGGCAAACTCCGTGAAGAGCGGTGGCTCCACGGCTTACTCTCTCTCACTTGCCGTCACTGATAGGGATATTCTAGGTTGATCATCATTTATAAGTTCCCTCTCATATTTGTATACTGCTGTTAGAGGCGAAGAATCGCTGCACACAGATTCGCCAGGTCGCTTTAGAAGCATATGAAGCATCCCGGATAATCGTGAGCTACGCACAGCAAACTCGAAAGAACACGAACTCAGGTTCACACCATGGCCACTTCAATGGCTGTTCTTTGCGGATGTGTCTTTACTCCAGTGAAATCCGAATGGTCTGTTTGTGATAGGAGCTTTGTGAGAACAACTTCTCCTCTTCAGCACTCTAAAGGAGAGTCCCTACTCCTGTGGATTCCCGGTATGACACGTAACTGACTTGGTAACAACACGCCTAGTTCCCTGTTGCAGTATCGCGCTTACGAGGGCCTATACTACACCTCAGAGACCCTCTGGGAGGCCGTCAAGATGAGTAAAGAGTATAGTTGCATCACAATCAGGGTACCAACTTGTTCACGGTATAATTTGGTCCTCCTCAGCTACCAACTTGTGTCGCATCAACTGAAGGTAATTCTTCTTTTCCATAGTCTAACAGAGTATCTCTTTGCGTTGTCATTATCATGCTTCTATTGCGTTGGCCTCTGGAATTCGTATAACTTTGCTGCAACTTCAAACATGACACCTGGTAGCAGACGCAGGTGGCATAGGATTCAGCTTGAGCACGGAAGATCCTTAGCAGGCCAAACAAGAAAACACCTGCGGATGCATGATCTCGTTCATTCTACTGGTTGTCAGGCCTTCTTGAGCAAATTTGGTTTGCATCAGTTCCCGTTCTGCTTCTCTTTGGGCGTATGCTCGTCAACCGCAACTGGTACTCTTCATCCTCTCAAATTTTCGTAGGATACTAGTTGAGTAACTTAGACAAGAACAGCTGAGCATCGTAAGGCATCGAATTGCGGACTTTATATGGTCTCAGAGCAGACTCCGCTTGAGGGTTGTATCTTCAATCGTCAACGTCAATTGACGTGGTACAGTGTCTTTCATTTTTCTACCGAGAATGACAGCTAATCCTCTGCTTCTCTTTCTTTTGACGGCATCTTTGGTCGAAGCTCATAACTTGACTAGCTTCAGCGGACAAGCGCAGCAGCGTTAGCGCGAGTCCTGTGATGACGATTGCGTCACTGTCTGGACTGCTGAGATGACTCCTATGCTGGAGAAGCTTCAGGCTGAGGAAGAAGGACAACACGGAACCAGCGTGAAGATGACGCGTTAGACTTGTTTTCCATGAATCAATCAGCACCATGTGATTCCATTCGGTCTCTTCGGTACCATGGCTGATTTCAGCGATTAAGCGGACCTGCCCCCAACTAGATGAGACTGAAGGGTTAAGTAGTGGTAGGTGTGTATATCAGGAGCTCCCATTATGACTTGGCTGCCTTATA